ACTGTTCAAAAGTTCTTTTCGAGCGAACTGAACTTTTCGAACAGTTCGTTTTGAACGAGCTGAACTGGTCGAACAGTTCTTTTGAGCGAACTGAACGTCGACTTTGGAAGATCTGTAATTTGGCCTAGTATATCAAGATCTATCCATAGGACGTAGTTAAAACTTCTCAAGGTCTATTCATAGGGACAACCAGGACCTGTCAATGCCTATTCATACAGTATATCTAGGAGTCCTTTAACCTTATCCAGTGGATAAGGTTAAGGACTTTTTCAGGATGATCACAGAACTATGAAGATGCCGAAAACATTATCTAACCTATTTAAGCCTTTTATTTATTTGAATTCACAAATAAATGAAATTTAATATTATGAAAGTTATTGTGAATATATGAAATGTTTGTTGGTGTTATTGCAAAACTCTTAAGCCAAATCACAATGTCATCAAATAAGAGCTTTTCTTTCTATCCGAAACGACATCATTTTTTAGTGATTTTTTTAAAAGCAACTAAGAAGTTTCTTTGAAAAATATTTGCATTAGTACGATACCGTGTAGTCACTGTGTGACTATGTCAGTGTAGCAGCTGAACGACGATGTTCAGTTCGCTCAGAAGAACTGTTCGACCAGTTCAGTTCGCTCAAAACGAACTGTTCAAAAAGTTCAGCTCGCTCAAAACGAACTGTTCAAAAAGTTCAGCTCGTTCAGAAAGAACTGTTCGACCAGTTCAGTTCGCTGAATATAGCGTTTTGAACAGTTCATCAGTTCTGAACGAAACCTGAACTTGGGAAGGTCTAATAGTTTCATTTTCCTAAACCATTCAGGAGAAGGTTTACTAATTTTGCTCGTTCGTAGGAATTCCGAATGGCTAGGAATATCAAAACAACTTATACGGTTTGACTGTTTTTTGAAAAAGATAAAAATGACAACTTTTTTCTAATCTGAATAAATAAAGGAGAACTGAAGTTAAAGCGAAAAAGTTAGGACATGATCCATAGTATTTGACTCGTTGGTTAATATAAAGTGTATGATTAACTCTTTTAGAAAAAACCCTTTTGATTTTGCCTAAACTGGAAAATCCTTCGCTACGTGAAAAACCCAAAACAATACCTTCCTAAACCAAATGGGGTTAGGAAAAAACCTTTTGATTTTCACCAAAGCTAGAAAATCCGTTGACTCTTTCTAAAGAACGCTTTTTAGTTTTTTTGGTCAAATTGAAAACCCCTTTTTGTTTTTAAATACGCCTTTTTCCGTTTAGGAAAAATTTTCTAGTGAATGTTTGGTTATTAAACCCTTTTGGGTTTAGAACTGTTGTTTCTAAACCCTGTCGGTTTTTCAAAATACGCTTTTTTTTAGAGTGCAAGCTGATCAAGAATATCTTGGGCTTAACATACAAGTTTTCAGAGAAAATAATGCCTAAACTCAAAGCGCCTTATGTTTTTGAAAAACGGTTAGTTTTCTTAAGAACTGAATAACTCAATCCTGGTTCAGTTTGAAACTATGCTTTTCGTAATCAGCGTTAACTGGATATAAAAATGGTGTTTGATCAATCTCGAAATTGCGGGTATGCAAGTTTGTTACCTATTTAGCGTTTTGTGTTAATGATTGAAGCCGTCATTTGTGACCCATTGGATTCGCTGAAAGCTTGAATTTAAAAGTATGCATCGCCATTTTTAAAATTTTGACTCGTTGCTGAGAAAAGTCTTCTTTTCTAAATCAGAGGCGGAAAAGTCAGAATTCAGAAAAGTCAGAATTTTTCAACGTGAAAATTCGAAAAAAATAAAAGTAGTCGGGTAGGATAGAAATACATATCATTCGACTCATTTTTTTTATCCTGATTGTGAATAATGATATTTTTATTGCATAAAAGCTGAGTTCTGATGGAGACATTGCAGAATTCTGACTTTTCCGCCTCTGACCTAGAAAAGAAGACTTTTCTCAGCAACGAGACAAAATTTGAAAAAAGGCGATGCATACTTTTAAATTCAAGCTTTCAGCGAATAACTTCGGAATTGATGAAACACCATTTTTATATTCAGTTAACGCTGATTACGAAAAGCATTGTTTCAAACTTTCAAAATGAACCAGGACTGAGTTATTCAGTTTTTAAGAAATCTAATCTTTTTTCAAAAACTAAGGCGCTTTGAGTTTTTTGTATATGTTTTCTCTGAAAACTTGTATGTTAAGACCAAGTTATTCTTGATCAGAAAAGCTCTATCGATTGATGTATAATTAAGCCAAAAATAAAATGGTGTGGAAAGTTCCCAATCGGTACGCCTTATATCTCTAATAAAACTATGTGTTAGCAATGAATACAGCATTTGAAAAGGAGTGTGTGTTAGTGCGAGTTTAGACAGCGGTTATGAAGAGTGGGAACGGCTAACAAACATGTCCTATGACGCTCAATGACAGTTCGATTTATTTAATTTTCTTGTTTAGACACCTGCTGTTAAAAATCTAATTCAACAATCAATCGCAGAACAGCACAAACAGCAAGATGAAGAAGAAAAAATTAACGAAATAGCACAATCAGCGTCTTTACTAAGACCAAAATCTTCATCATCAGGAGTAGTTCGAGTAACTACCGTTAAATTAAGTCATAGAAAGATCAATGTAGGTCGTTATCTTTATATATAGAAAATAAGTTGGAACTTGCTTTACATTCAACCTTTTTGATTTAGACAGCAGCAACACAAACACCATCAACAACTCCTAGTGTTCCAATTCATATACTAATTGTACGTGAAACAGAAAAGCTGTTTGCTCTTTCTTAATTATAGATACGTAAAAATTATTGCAAATTCATTATGCTTTGTGTAAATAGAACGATTCTTTGACTATTGCTGCTAATAAACGTCCATTGACACGTGCAAAAAGTTCACCATTGCAAACAAGTTTTAAAGAACCAACAGTCACTAGAATAAAAAGACAATTGTCCACAAAGAATGAACAGGTATTTTATCTAAAATGAAATACCGGCTACAGTATATGTACAACTAAAGTGAAACTAAAGTATTTTCTCATATTTATTGTCATTAGACATCACTACCACCAGCGCTAATAGAAAATGCAGAAAATATTAATGAGTTAGAGTTGGAGAGAACAGTGTCAAAACGAAAGAAATCAAGTAAACGAGTAAGTTGCAGACACAAATAGAGTTCTTCTGGAGCTATTCGATATCACTCATCCATGGCTAAAAGTATATATGTCTTTCTTCTTCTTTTAATTATCATCACATAGAAGAAGACGTCAAAGTCAAACGATGAGAATGAAAATCGTGATCTGCGAATAATGCCACCATCAGAAAATGATGTATGTAATATGATCTTTTTCCTATTTAGATATTAAAAAAGTCTATTTATATTTCCATAGAAATTTTTGATGAAAGAATCAAAACATGATTTATTTGTTGAACGATACTCAATCACATCTTTTCACTTGAACATTAATGAAAGACCAAAATCAGCTGCGAAACCAAAAGTACAACGTATACGACGACGACAATCATCATCAACTAAGAGTGCTACATGTGTTAGTTATAGATACGTGACAAATAAACGAAAACTTGAGAATTCTTTTATTTCTCCAGGTATCATCGAAACTAAACGAAGATAATCTACCGCAATCACCATCACCACCACAATCTAAAGCTGTAAATGCTGAACCATTTCCCTTATTAAATTTAGTTAATCTTAAGATATATCAGATAATTTGCATGTAGATGAGATGAAAGAACATTTTTCTTGCCTATGATTTAAATATCTATATCGATTTTTAATAGGATCTTTTCAACATTGATATGTTATGTGAAAAAACTGTATCACCTATCGGTCATCAACAACAACGTCGTTTTTCATATAAGAGATTCAAAGTCGATGAAAAACAAAAGAAGAAAAGTAAACGACGTAGAAAAAGGTAAGATAAATAAAGGACGGTGGACAATAAGAATCAAAATCGGCCCACGTTTAAATCAGTCTGGTGTTAACTCATCTGATGCAGCGTTTGTCCGCGATTAACGCTAGCATATTTTATACCTTAAAAATCCTTTTCAGTGCCCCTAGAAACAGTTTAGCAAAAAAACTCTTCACGCGTTAAATGACCTTTACTCAAAGTATTTTCATTATTCCACCTCTTTCACCTAAAGCAAATATCAAGTATTACACACAACTCGATAAACAATTTCACGGGCTATAAAATGATATATAAGAGATTCTTAAGAAAATGTAAATGGATAGTCTAAGATCCTAAATACTCGGTAGCATCTCAGAAAACCATCTCAGATGTTGACCCATCGGTTTGCTGAGATATTTCGGGTGTTAGACTACCCAGTTACATTTTCTTAAGATTGTCTTATATATCTTTTATAGCCCGTGCAAGTGTCTGTCGAGTTGTGTGTAATACTTGATATTTGCTTTAGGTGAAAGTGGTGGAATAATAAAAATACTTTGAGTAAAGGTCATTTAACGCGAGAAGAGTTTTTTTTGCTAAACTGTTTCTAGGGGCACACATTTTTAAGGTATAAAAATATGTTAGCGTTAATCGCGGACCAAACTGCATCAGATGAGTTAATACAAGACTGATTTAAGCGTGGGCCGATTTTGGCTCTTATCGTCCTCCGTCGTTTTATCTAATTTTCATAGAAATAAAGATCCATTTTCTTATGAGATATCCTTTAATTTTTAGAGTAGGCGCATATTTATGTTATTCTCCATGTTGTTTTCTATGTGCAGCATTAGCTTTGAGTTTACTCTTAGCTGGATTAGCTGCACTATTAATATTTCTATTAACATTAAAACCAAATACGACTATGACCACCACTACTGCAACAACTACAACGACGACGACAACCACGACAAGTGAGCATTTATCTTATTACAAACTACTATTGGTTTCAAAATACAGTGGAGTCTGTCATTTTTCGGATAACCTTTGAGAGAAATAAGTTCGAAACGGTTTTTAGCTTTTGAAAATAGACGATTGAGACTGTAATTCCATGGAAAATTTTGGTATCCCGATCCCGATAAAGTTTACCATTGGTGTACCTTTGAACGGAAAAAGTTCGAGTTCATCATTCGTACAGCTCACATAGTAAGATAGGTTAAAAAGTTATGTGTTATATAGACGCAAGTTCTAGTGTTCCATCTGTCAAAGGTCCGGACGCAGTCTCCGTAAACATACCTGTGAACCAAACAGCATGTCTTTGAACCTCAAAAACACTAGTTACATAGACAGTTGAATGTACTGATCATCGTGGCAATGTTTATTATTTCCCGAAGTTAAAGCAACTTTGGATGGTGAAGTTTATAGAAATCAGGGTTCTAATGCTTGGATAGCTAGTCTAATAAAAATATTATAAATTCATTATTTTATCAACAAAAATTCGCTCAACTTTTAGTTTGAAGGCTTCTGGAAATCTCCTGGCATTAACAACTGTCAAGTATATACAATTTTGTTATAAACTTTTTATTGAAAAAGAAAAAAGAACGATTGCGCAAGCGGCTTTCGCCATATGTGCGCCTTAAAACGTATAAAAAAGAACGTATAATGAGCTTAGAAGGAGAAAGGAAAAAAAGGTAAAG